TAAACATAAAGTGAGTTGAGCTTGTGCATAAGTTTCGGTCCTTCTTGGTTCCTCCAGATTTTGGTTTCGGTGTTTGGTTCATGGAAACCCGAACAACACCCACATTCCAACCCGATGCCCTCTTTTTCCCTTAATGTATTGGTTCTCGGTGCCTCGAGACCTGAAATTTCGGTCCCAGTTTTGGGTTACCCAAAACCCCAAACTTGACCGTCCAGCCCTGGTTTTGGGAATCGGTGGAGTTGCCATTGGACTTGGGACTGTGAGACATGGAGAGGGTTGGGTTTATATTTAGTGAGGTTTAGAGTTGGACTTAATAAAATTAAGTGCTTAGTTAGGTGGGCTTAGCCGCTTAGGGCTTCAGATGGGACAATGAGTACAGGGGCTGGACTCAGGCAAAATTTAGTTTATTGGTTCGGAATTTGGAATTCTGGTTCAGTCGAAATACTCTGGTATCCCGAATTATGTGCTTTTTCCATCCGAATTTCTATCCGAATACTATGAAATTCGGTTTACGTTGGTTCGGTTTGTAGAGTTGAAACCGAACCGGATGCCCACCGCTAATATTCCAACCGATTTTATTACCGACAACTGTGAAACCGAACCGGATGCCCACCGTTAATATTCCAGCCGATTTTATTACCGACATCAGTTGTACCATGTTTAACCAGTTAGCATATCACTGCATGACAACCACGAATTCGAGCGATCATGAATGAAATTAAATATTTTTTAATGAGAAAGGTAAAAAAATTTAGTAATCCCAAACTTGCACTGAGGGTGTTAGTAATTAATATTTTCGAAATTTTAGTTTTCTCTTGAGCAGCCAAAACTGCCAATTTCAGTTTTCCGAAGGGTTTAGACTTTAGACAGCATACCCTCCCTCCGCGCCCCCAGCCCCCCACCCTCGACCAGAGCAAGAGAGCCGGATACCCTGGCCGTCTTCCTCCCGTCCCGCAGTTTAGAGTGTTCGAGACTCTTCCTTCTGCGTCAGTCATTCTTTCCTCTCTCTTCTTCGGTTAGTATCTTCTGTCGCTGGAAGAAGGAGTTCTGAGGAATTGCCCTCCTCGCATAGTAAGTCCCAGTTTCATTCCTCGTGCTTGTCTTTCTGCAGAATCTCGTGTTTGTTCTGCGTATTTGAAAATTTGAATGCTATGCACACATAGAAAAATGAATTGGCCATGTTTTCTTGATGCGCTGTCCGCAACCTTCAGATGTTGCATAGGCGCGTTCGCATATGGATTTTCCCGTTGTCTTCTCTTCTCAGCTTTTGTAAATTACAAGGGAAGGTCAATATAATTGTGGACTGTTGAAACTCAATAGTGAAAGGTGTATTGTTATCGAGCTGAAAGGCTTCAGAGTCCAGCTTTCCCTGTTATGGCCTCTCTGTTATATGGTGAAAAGTTGGGATTTTTTGTTTATAGCACTCATTCATGCCCCGTTCACTTCCCATTTTGTTTTCTGTTGTAAAAATGAAAATCAAGAAACAAATGATAAGAAACGTGTTCACTTGTAGTTTTGTTTTCGTTGGAAAAATTCATTTGGTATAAATGAGGAAGCTAGAAGGAAACCACTAAAAGTTGTTTCCTGAAAATAATGGGACGGGTTATTCCCCGTTTCCTAGCGGAAAATGGACACGGCTCATTAATAAGGTCGTCTGTTCGATCCCTGCCAGCGACAAGCTTTTTTGCTTATCTCTTGTTTTCCTAAATGCCGCCGTTTTGCCCACTCAAAGTAAAACCCTACGAGCAGCTAAACTCGATCCCTCTCCCGCGCCTGAGAAGAGAAGCAGCAGCGACGACCGTGTCTGCAGCGGGAAGCAGCGAAGGCGAATCCTTCCTCCAGCCGGCGAAATCAAGCAGCAGCGACGCGATTCTCCACCGTCGAAGAGAACCTACAGCTGGTCGCCATCTCCCTCCTCCACCCGACGATTCGTTCGAGCCTCTCAATCGGACGAATCCTCTCCTCCAGCAGCGTCGAAACAGCCGGCCTTCCCGCTCCCCAGCAGCATCGACGATCTCCTCTGCTTGAGGTTAGTCCTCTTCCAACTTTGCCTTGTGTAGGAACAGAACATATTGCCTCCATGAAAGATTTCCTTCTCCACAAAGATTTACTTGCTCCCCTGTTTGGTTCTCTTGAAAGTCTAGCCATTTCCAAGTTTGATTCATGTGTCTATGATATGATAACTGATTCTGATGTCATCCGCCAAGCTTTGGGCCATCGTTGAAGTTTTTGGTGGTTTAATTAGCTAGCTCGGATGTCAATTATCTCCTCCTGTGCTCGTCAAATTTGCTGATTGTGGTGGTTTAATTAGATAGCGGTGAAGTGTGTGAAAGACGTGTTAGAACTTGCAATTTGTTTGCCCTTTTGTGAATTGTATACCCTTTTGTTTGTTTGTAATCTGTTTGGCAATTGATGAAGTGTGTGATCTGAGGTTGTTTCTTGTTTGTTTCTAACTTGTATAATTAGTTGAGTTGTTACAAATCCACTTAGAGCAATAACTGTCGATTTGAGGACTAAGATCCGACTACTGATGAGCAACTGAAAGTAGGTGGTGATTTTGACAAGAGCAATAGCAGTAGGAATGTGAACTTGAGGCAGAGGGTGAAAGGGGATAGTGAGCTGGAATGCTGGATGGCGGGTTTCCTGAGAAGGGTTCCCTGGGAATTGCAAATGCAGGTTCAGTTTCTGTGACTAATGGGAAGGGTGGGTTTAGATCAGCCTGGGTGATTGGTGTATCTGGAGTCCTTTTTTGGGCGGTGGGTTTGGTTGGGATATGTAGATGCCTTTATTGTTTGAATTGTAGTTTGATAAGTAATGGATGGTAATGAGGTGGAAAACAATACTTCAATTACGATACTTTATTTGAAGAGTATCGACATTATTTGCATGAAAGAGAATGTCAATGAAGTGCAATGAGGGCAATAAAGGAACTTATTCGACATATGATGTTATACTTGTATAGTGTTTATTAGTACTTTGAAAACAGTGTCATTCATATTAAAAATTATAATTATGATTAGAATTTTATGATACTCAATGAAAAAAATTGTGATAATCAATTACCAGAAAACAGTAGGAAGTAACTAAACAGGTTTTTATTTTCAGAATTCAGTTTCAGAACTCACCAAAATTCTCAGCTAAACGCGTTTTCTGCAGGTTTTGTTTTGCAGAAAATGACAGTTTCATTTTCATTTTATTTTGTTTTCTGTTGTGACATATATAAAAAATGGAATGGCAAGTGAACAGGCCATCAATGATAAGCGAGTATCATTGAATGAGAAAGCTTAAACCAAATTCTTAGACCGGTAGCTGTGGAGATTGAGAGAAGAGTGTGACCTTCGAGCAAGTTGGTCAAAATTAAGTCATGGAAAAGCCTTAAAGCCAAGTTCTTAGACTGGGAGCTGGTGGAGCTTAATGGTGTTAGACCTCTTCAATTGTCTTACGTGAATGGAATTAAGGATTTTTCTGTACTATAGATTTCGTTGAGTTTTCACTTTGCTTAGGGTTTATCCGTATCATTGAGTCTGAGAGCCTTCCTTCTAGGAGTGCATCCTGTTCCTGAACTTGTTCTAAAAGGAATCCCCCACGTCATTCTTGGACACATGTTGACAAGACGAGTGATCAATACACCTATTATGAGCAGGTTCTAAAGATTGTTTTTTCTTTGATGTCAAGTTCCATGGCTCATGGAAATTTAAGACAAGGTTTGGGGAAATATTGGCTCTGTTCTTTAGTCACGATGTTGTTGAGTAAGGTTGTAACTTAGTCTGTCATTGCTATTGTTGGTTGTATTGCATGTTTCTGGACCAGTCTTTTCGCAGCAGTACATGTTTTGTATCTACTGCTCTCTTTGTACTATGGCTACGTTCACTTATAGAAGAACATTTCATAATTATGTTGTTAAGGCAGAGTTTGAAATTCCCAGTTTAATATAGTTGGAATCAATCTAAAATTTGAACCTTGCATGTATTTTTAAATGGTTTTGAATAACATGTGTCTATCTATCTTGGTTGGGTCACGGACAGTTTGATACTCTCAATGGTATTGATTCCATTCCTGCTTAAACAAGGAAACATTTGTGTTGCAGGTTTGTTGACCAGTCTGGTTTTGAAAACATAGTTAGGAGCGGAAGCAAGCTACCCTCTGGTATTTTCTATTTGTCGCTTGTGCTCTTTGTCAACCTCGTAATCAAGGACCAGCAGAAGAAGATGAAAGTAAAAGTAATATCACGCTCTACTGATGAGTTTACTCGAGAAAGAAGCCAAGATCTTCAGGTCCAACCAGATAACTAAAATTTTATGATATCTTTTCTGTTCTTTTCATTGATAGTCTCTTCAAATAGCATACTCTTTTTAATAATTCAATCGTTGGAATTTTTTTTGCTCAATTAGAGAGTGTTCCGCAATTTCGACCCCAAACTTCGTCCTCAAGAGAAAGCAGTTGAATATGTCAGGGCACTTAATGCTGCCAAGTTAGAGAAGGTAACTTCGAGCTTTATGAATTTTTTTCATGCTGATGATGATTTTCACGACTGCTTGAATTCATCTTCTTAACAAGTTGCTAGGCATGGAATTTTTTATTTGCTTTCTAATCTAACATCTGGGGAATTGATTATTATTCTCTTAGATCTTTGCAAGACCATTTATAGGAGCAATGGATGGTCACATAGATGCTATTTCGTGTATGGCGAAGAACCCCAATTTCTTGAAAGGGATTTTTTCCGGCTCTATGGATGGAGGTAAAAGATCTTTTTGCCCTCGTTTTTGTTATGCTTGTTCTAGGACTCTATTAATGTAAAAAGTTGGAATGTATCACAGCTTATCATGGTTGTATCCAGACCACTACCTTACACTTCTATCTATTATATTGGAGTTAGATACAGGATTCTTCTCATATAAAGCTGTGAATGTGTCATTGTTCGTTTGTGATGATTCTAATTGCTTTGTATGGGTGCTTGCAGATATTCGCCTCTGGGATATAGCTTCCAGGTAATCTTTTTTTTTGTACAACTCACTACCAATTTCTTTCTTAAAATCGAAGACTGGTCATGGTGTACAATAGGTTTCCTAGCTGGACATCATAGGGTAGACGGGGAGCATTTTGCATTCTGCCTAGCTTATTATATTCACTTTGTCTAGAGATTAGCAGGTGGCTCTTCATGCAACTTGATCCATTTATCATTTACTGACAATTTGTTGCTTGGATGAAATTGTGAATGGAAAAACACACTGCAAAACTGCAGAAGGGACTTCATTGTTGTAATTTATTGATGTAGATATTAGAGCCCGTGGGTCCTTAAGTAGAACTAAAGGAATGACCCTGATTACCTTGTGTGAGGTGGGTATTACTTTCTATGACGTGGATCCAACTTTGCTCATAAATTTGACAAATCTTTCAGAATATGGTAGTACTCTGTTGGAAGGAACTTGTTATTTTATACGGTCAGATCTTCCTTTTTTGTATGCTTTGCTACCATTCATTAACAATGAGTGGGGTCCACGTGAAAAAAAAAACACAAATTGGATTGGTGTAGGACTCTTCTGTTTGTCAGTCGTTTTTTTATCATGTCCTGTCTTCCGAATCAAAATGTTCCATTGTACTTTTTTTCAGCTTTGAGATGTCAATTTTTGTTTGTTAAGATTCACCTTATGATGGATGCTTGCTTCACATTTTTGTACCCAAAATTGCACCGAACGTGTGAATTGAGCAGGAAAACAGTTTGTCAGTTTCCTGGTCACCAAGGTGCTGTAAGAGGCTTAACAACATCCACTGATGGAAGCACCCTAATATCTTGTGGAACAGATTGCACGTAAGTATGAGCTTCTGCATATTTGTTTCTTCTCTTCCAAGCAAGATCTTTTTCTAGAGTGTGGATATATTTTGATTTATCCTGCACATTTAGTGTTAGGATTTGGAGTGTGCCAGTAGCTGCTACCTTGGAATCAGATCATGCCTCTAATAATCCCATCGAGGTAGTGCTTTCGTTGTTGTTGCTGTCTGATAAATGTGCTCTCTTTCCCATCTTGCCATGCTGACTGTGCTTGTTTACATATCCAGGCCAATGCAGTTTATGTTGGAAAGAATGCTTATTGGTGAGGATTTAAGAACTACTTGGGAGTTCCATATGAGCTTCAGTATAGTTGGGTTTTTTAATTATTCTTATTAAACAACTTTCCGTTTTACCATCTAATCACAGGGCCGTAGACCATCAGTGGGGTGGTGACCTCTTTGCTACAACTGGTGCTCGAGTTGAAATTTGGAATCACAACAGGTTATTTTTCTTGGGTTTTTGTATTACACTGAAATATTGAATTTGCATTATTGATTTGACAAGATTGGCTTCTTTATCAGGTCGCAGCCTGTAAACACTTTCGAGTGGGGGACAGATACAGTTATCTCCGTCCGGTTTAATCCTGGGGAGCCAAATCTTTTGGCCACGTCAGCTAGGTATGTGGTGTGAAGATGAATCATGTATTGGTCGCTAAGGGCTTAATGATTGAAATGTATGGATAGGTGATGTTGTATATGTGATTCCAATTGTTTTTTAACAAAGTAGAAGGGTGATATTGAAATAGAAGATTCATAGCAAACAGTGCTTTTGGATTGAGCTTTTATGTTGCAAATTATGAATTGGGATTATATAGACAGTTGAAGTCCAATTCAAATAGTCTCCTAGCATTGATACCACTACCATATTATTAATAAGCAGAGTCCAATTCCCCAATCTCAAGAACTTGAATGGTAACCATTTTGCTTTTTAGGTACAGGTGTGTGTGGTTTTCTTTTGGTTTGGTAGCTTGTTTTTGTGTTGTTAATGATCTATACTACTGGCTTGTCCAACATACTTATGGGTTGAAGAGAGGTTGTTAATTGTTCCTAAAATTTCATAATATTTTTTCAGTGATCGCAGCATTGCGTTGTATGACTTGCGCATGTCAACTCCTGCAAGGAAACTTATCATGCAGGTAAATTTTTTGGTTATGAACTCTAGATGTGATTCATGCTGATGATCTCAAAATTTATTGCTATCTTTTTGTCCTGTAAGATCGCTGATGTACAATATTTCTAAAATCAACTGAGTTTGTATCTATTCCTTCTATCGCCCTGCATCCATCTGTTGCAATGTATGCTGCACTGTCTCCTAGTTCTTATTGGTATGGGAACATGGACTGGTTAAAGGTTTTGTCCATCTTTTAACCAGGGATTTCCCGGTGGAGTAGGACATTTGGAAGGTCAGATCATAACTTGTAAGGAGTATATTTGTATGTGTGCATGTATGGGTGGAAGACCATCACCATTTTTATGGTTGATGTTGGAGTCGGAGGAAATGCAAGCTTAGTTATGTAACACAGATAAAGTTTAGACTTCAATTCTCTCTGCTTTGACAGCCTTCTTCATGACTCACTCGCTTGTCTATTGGGTTGCTTGTCCTCTAGTTTCATTCTCTTGGGTTCTTCTAAACATTGGTTTCGCTTGCTTCTGGTTTTTGCTACTGCAGTTATGTCTGTAAATCTGAGTGTTATCTTTTTGTTACAGACAAGAACCAATTCCATTGCTTGGAACCCCATGGAGCCACTCAACTTCACAGCAGTAAGCCCATTGATATTGTTAAAATCTTTCTGGTGTCTGATAATTTTGTTGCCATTGTCAAACATGGATATACAAGGCATACCTAACTGTTGCTGATTGCTTTGCTAGTGCCCGACTATCAAACTAATTTATGATACAATTTTTCATTTCTGCAGGCAAATGTGCAGCTGCTATAGCTATGATGCTAGAAAACTGGACGAAGCCAAATGTGTGCACAAAGATCATGTTTCTGCAGTGTGAGTTAATGCTCATTTCTTTTAACGTCTGCATGTGCAATTTTGTTTTTGTGCTTTTAATACCTTCTCAGGAGATCTATAATCTTGTCTATCCTTATCTCAGCATGGACATAGACTACTCTCCTACTGGCCGGGAGTTTGTAACTGGATCTTATGATAGAACTGTAAGTTCAATCTTTCACTGGTTGTCTTTGCTTGAAAGGTGAACAGTTACATTGTCGTTCAGTCTCTGTCCTTAGGGTAATTTTCTGATTCTGATCTTATGGAATTGCTGCCTGATGTCTGATTGCAGGTTAGAATTTTCCCATAAAACGGTGGCCATAGTCGGGAAATCTATCATACAAAGAGAATGCAAAGGTTTGTTTCCTTAGTTATATATATCCTGTTCAAACTCACAAGTCATACTAGTACATGAAGTAGCAACTTCGTCCTGACGTTTTTCGAGTTGATAGTTATTTGATGACAACACAATTTTCTTCATTTTTTGGCAGGGTATTTTGTGTCAAGTTTAACAGTGATGCAAGTTACATTATTTCAGGGAGTGATGACACTAACCTTAGGTTGTGGAAAGCTAAACCATCGGAGCATATGGGAGTTGTAAGATATATTTAGTTCCATGTTCCGACTTAATTAGTCTGTTTTATTTAGATCAGGCTTTGCTGAATCATGTTCTTCTAATTGCTAATATCTATACATCCTGCTGTTGCAGTTGCTTCCAAGGGAACAGAAAAAGCACGAATACCAGGAAGCTGTCAAGAATCGTTATAAGCATCTACCTGAAGTCAAAAGGATAGTGAGGTAAGTGAATTTCCACATGTGGAAGTGATTAACGACAAGCCTTTATGCCACAAGTTTCTGCAACTTAATTTGGCGTGCGTTATGGATGATTGTGCAGACATAGGCATTTGCCAAGACCAATATACAAAGCTAAGGAGTTGCGCCGCACGGTGATTGATGCTGAGAAGAAGAAAGAGGAAAGGAGGAAAGCTCACAGCACCCCAGGGAGCATCGTTACCGAATCAGTGCGTAAAAGGAGGATCATTAGAGAAGTTGAGTAGTTTGTTCAGTTTTCGACGGGATAGCGTTGTCGAGTTTGCAGGTTGCATCGAAATTCTCAAGGCCATATGGGTACTTCTTATCAACCATTTTGGAAGAGCTTTTGATCAAACTGAGGATGGGAGAAGTACGCCCCGCATGACTAGTTGTACCTGTACCATAACAATCTTTTCGTGCTTAGCATTCGTTTTCACTATTGATACTTCGTAGTTGGCTTCCTTGGATACGAACGTGTTTTCACCAATCATTTTTGCTAAAACAAAGACACAACATAAATCGATGGGTTGAGGTTCCCCGTGTTTAGTGGTTTTTCGATATATAACATAAAATAGAGCATAAAGTAAATGATAAGATAAGTAAAGGTACACATGGATAAAAAAGTTCATCCTAGATGATCATACATCACAATCTCATTAATTAATGGTATGCATTGATGCATCTTCTTTCAGATAACCCTATCCCTTTCACTAAAGCATTCCTAATTGAGCTTTCTCCACGTGCAAAAGGAACTAAAACTAGCTAATACGTGCTTTTACTTCATGCCATTAACTAATCAATTAAACAAGAAAGTAAAATAACACAATAACTATTTAGGAAATCTATGACCCATAGTAATGGTCCATAACATTGATGATCTAAGGCATCAAGTATTGAACTCATGCAAGCACAGATGGTTGATCATCTTACTCCATACACACATAAGACAATGTCACATCACGTAAGAGTAGTCTCTTATCACTTAACATGGTATTATAAACAACACCATAGTAACACACAATAGATGATATAGGCATCACATGGTTAATGCATCACACAACTAAAGTATTCGAATAATATAAGCATACATGAACTAAACATATAATGATATAGGCATCGAATGATAAAGGAGTTTAATGAGCAAAACATCTCATTAACTCGTAGAAAGAAGATGCATAAAGCATCAATAGAATTCACATCCACAACAACGAATTTGAACTAGAGTTTCATAAGAGAGAAGGATGGTAGCATCATCGATGATGAAGGCATTCCTTAATTGCACCCTTCTATGAATGCTATTTCGATCTCGATTTGGCTCCTTGATCGAGTTTTTGAAGAGTAAATTGTAAGTTTTGCATTCTATGTAATCTTATAGCCCGACCCTCTATTTATAGTGTATGAAAGAAGGGGTTTTTATGCATTTTCTTCCTAAAACTAGGTCAAAGGTGTCCCCGTACCACTGAGACACAGATTTCTTGAGTTTGGGACGAATGAAAACATATTCTCGAAGCTTCTATGGACTTGGCACTATGGCGGTTGAACGATGTTCAGGGCCACCGTGGTTCTTCCTCCTGATTTGTGTTTCTTAGCCCACAAGTAGCCTCTCCATGGATTTTCATAGCGACTGGTAAGGTTTGGCTCGACGGAGGTTGAGCCCATCACATAGCCGCCGTGACTTTCTTTGCAAGTTTGGACTGAAATTTCTCTAGTAGACTCCTCTTAGACTCATCTGAAGATTTCACGTAGGATTCTGATAACACTGAATTTACGCTAGGTTGTGTTCCTTTGTCACATTTCAGGTCCTAGCATGTAAAGTGAAGCATAGGCGCAAGTTTCAAGTCAATCAGAGATCAATTGGCGACTCGGGGGAAGAAACTCGGGTATGACCCAAGGAATAATGGATTTCTACCTCATTTAATGGACAAAGAATAATGTAATCTAGGCATGCAAAGAAAGAGGACGAGACTACGAGCGTCTGGGATCAAACGACGACTGATTCGGAGTTCGGATGACGGAGAAATGACTAAAAGACAACAACCTCTCTAGAGTTACGGGAGGCAATACATTCCAGAAGTTACCGCCTGAACCCCAAAGGTTACAGGTGTAACTTGGGGCCTTAACTTGGCTTCTGAGAGTTGTATAAATGCGTTTTTGCGGATTCTGAAGGGGGAGAGCTGGGTTTTGGATCCCAAACACCCAAGGGACCAACCCTAGAGAGAGAGCACCTTGGAAACATTCTTGGAGCTATTTTGGAGGATTTCTTCATCATTGGAGCTAAGGAATCAGGCTTGGAAATGGAGATTGAAGATCTAGATCAGATTTCTACATTCTCTCTCTTCTCTATGGAGTAACTTCCCTTCACTTCGGTTTTGAGGAACCCAAGTTTTGTATACTAGGAAGAGTTGTATGAACTCGAATTCATTATTGTTAGCATTTCGTCATTCATTCCCATCCAATCGATTTTTTTTCTTCATTTGATGGGGACGTTTTATATTCAGTTGAGGCATTGATTCAGAATTACTTGAGTCCTGATCAAACTTTTGTGATTCCTGCTTTAACCTAGAACGATAGTCTCTGCATAGATTAATAGAGCAACCTTTATTGAAAGTAGTGGATTGATTGCTTTAGTCGAGAAATCGATTCACTGCTCTATACTGGAATTAAAGCCAGTAGAGGAAGTTTGGTGTGTTATTGCCTTGGTTAGTTTATGCTGGTGGAGGTTAGTCGCTCGCCGGGTATTTGAATTGAGAGGGTTTGGATTACTTTAGTCGAGATTTCAGACTTGTCAAGAACTTTCCGCATTATATCTGTCAACTGAATTGGATTGGGTGAATTACAACTTGGTCTAACTGCAGACTAGGGGGAATCATACCTAAGTGAGTTCCCAACATGTAATTAGTAGTTTTACTTAGTTTAGTTAGTAGAGTAGTTTAGTTAATCAATCCTTAATCTGATTTGCTAGATAATGAACTGAAGCTGAGTAATAGTACATCTAGAGATCCAAGGATTCGATATTTATTACTTGCACCACTATACTGCAATCCCTTTCATTGGTTACACTTGGGCATTGTTAGGAGTTGTATTTTAGCGAGTCAACTTCCTCTCCATTGGGCTTCGCTTATTGGACAAACCATTCTTGATCTTCTAGTATACCCCTTTGATCTTCCAACTTGATCCAAATGTTGATCCAAATCATCATAGATTGCATTTGACCCAGGAAAGCACAAAAAACACAAAAAGCATATAACGATACTAAAACACAACTTATGTCTATTATAATCATATTGATCAAATAGTTATGAAATTCTTACTAAATATAGGAAAATCTACTAAAGATGCATCGATAGAAGGGAAAATGTATCAAATATGGGTAGTGATAAACACTATAAGTTGAGCGTCATCAAGTGCCTGGGCCGCCGTTTCGGGGTTTCCTTCTTCTCAGCTTGCATTTCAAGGCTTTGGAGTTTTCTTCTAGTTTGGATCGCCAAGTCGTCAAAATGCGTGCCTACTCAAAATAGAGCCTTCAACGCTATTTTTTGCTTTATATCATCGTTTTTTGTGCCTTTTACTTCCTCACTTTTCATGTTGTGTTTTATCATCCTGGCTGGTCTACAATGTCTTCAACTTGAGCAAGGTGGCCCTCTAAGATGCTTTATCCTGAAAATCCAAAAAAAGCTATCAAAAGCGTATCAAAATGGTAAAAGAAATCCTAGAGCTACAATTAATCTAATCATATCTTCTTCATTCTAACTCAGATTCCATTTTGAATATTTTTCGAGAATTTTTTTTGCATACCTCTCGTGACCAACTCCATATCATATGGTATCTCCTTCGTTTATAAGTCATTTTCAGAAATTTTTGCAAAGAAGGAACGATTTAATCATGATCTATTGAATCCAAAATTTTATAGGTGAAAAAATTTCATACTCGTTACCAACTCCATACCATACTATACCACCCTGGTATGGGCTGGTATCTTTCATACCATATGGTATGCTCTGATTATATGGTATTGACTGGTAAAAAAATAGCTCAATTTTTTTGTTCCAAAAATATTACAAAGTGAATACTATTTTGAAGACCACAATTAATCTGATCTAAATGTGAAAAAAAATTTAAATTCCGACATAAAAAGAGTGAGAAATTGTGTGTTAAAGATTAAAGGAGAAAAATTAAAAGCTTTCCAGAAGAGAGAAAGTGCATTGATGTGACGAATTGAAGTTGGATTATGCATGTTTATACATCAGAAGATTATGCATGGAATCAGTTCCCGCGGATCACCAGACGAAACTAAGGGCTCGTTTGGAACCTCCAATTCCAGATGTCGTATTCTCAGTATTCATGTATCCTAAGAATATAACATTTTTTGACTTGATGTAATAACATAATGCATTTATTCATAATCTATGTTGTATTCCTAATACATAGAAAATGATGTATTCATAATCTTACCTTTTTGGTGAGATTTGAGTATCCATAGTTTATTTAAACTATAATTTGTGCATTCTTTTATAAGTTCCACACAATGAATTTTCAAACCACACATTCTTAGTATACACATAATCTTTAATACACATATTCTCGTTGTTTATGCCATGTAACTATGCGCCCTGCTTCTTCGCACGCAAACCCACCTGCTCGCTCCTTCCTGCACGCAAAGGAACCCCCCTTGAGACCTGGATGGGGCTCGTTAGCACTCCAATGCCCAAGTCAGTTCCCTTTTCTAGAGAGAGAAGTGAATAGTAATTCTAGAGAGAAGTTCTAACCTGAGTAAATGAGGTTCACCAACTCTCCTATTTATACTCGGGGTTTGACCGACCAACATCCTTCTCTTCCGCCTTTCGCCAGGTCCGCATTTAATGTGTCGTACGGTCGGATCCCATGCGCCTCGACCATCTGAACTCCTGCTCAGAATTATGAGGCGCATGACGTCAACTGGTCCCGACCCCGTACTTTTGAACCCTCTGCGACCCTTTGTCGTATGCGCCCCGTGGCAGAGCCATGGCCCCACCTGTCTGGAAAGGCCTGCTTTGTTACATGGGCCAACTCCTTTCATGCCCCTGGGCCCACCAGGTTGGGTTCTGCTTTGTGGCTTACCAGCCCTTCTTCCTGGGCCCTGTGAGCCCAACCCTCTTAGGCCATGGTCGGATCCCCAACAATTGTCCCCCCAGTTAAGCGCCTAGGGTCTCTTCATGGGCGCCTAACTGGATACCTGACCGTGCGCCTTGCTCGTCTCCTGTGCGCCTTGGCCCCTGTCTACGCCCCTCATTGCCCTCGTTGTCGTTCCGCTTCCTCCTTTATACATCCGTATCCTCTTTGCGAGCCGCGCTTCTGGCGATGCCTCCCCACGAGACACGCCTACTCCTTTAGGAGTAATGAACTTCAACACCGGGTGGCATGATGACGCTACCCCATTGAAGAGTGCCAGCAACGGGCGCCCCAAGATTGCATTATAGGGGGAGGGGCAGTCCACAATACCGAACTCCATCGTGTGTGTCACGCGGTGTTCCTCTTCTCCGAGCGTCACCGGCAAGCGTACGCACTTGATCACTCGTGCCGAGACCCCCGAAAATCCAATCAAGATCGAATGTGTCGGCCTGACGAGGCACGGAGATAACTGCATTTTCTCATAGGTGGACCGGAACAACACATCTATCAAGCTCCTCGTATCGACCAACATCCTTTTCACCTCGCATCCGGCCACCACTCCCCTGATCTCCAGCGCTTCCATGGATGGCACCCGACATATCTCCTCGTTAAAGTGGATCTGCACCGCCGCGCGAGCGCTGGCGGTGGCTGATTTCAAGCGTCTTCCTTCTTCCAACTTCTGCCTCAGATCCACCGTGCCCGATATGGCCTCGATTGTCAGCCTAATGCGCTTGGGATGCGCCTCGGGCTCGATACTAAACGAGGGAGGGGGCAGCTCCTCGCTTTCCGCGGGAGCCCATCCTTCTGCGGGCGCGACATTCTCCTGCGCCTCTTCTGCTTTCTCCTCTTGTACCATAAAAGTCCTTTGCGCCTTATCTTCCCCCTTTCTCACGAACTCGTTTAGCATCCCTCGTTCCACCAACCCTTGGATTTCGGATTTGAGTTGGTAGCAGTCAGCGGTGTGGTGACCCCTTTCGCGATGGAACTCGCAATACCTATCGAGGTTCTGCTCGTTCGGGCGCCCCCTCATAGGCCCCGGCCAACGAATATGGTACCCCTTATCCTTCACAAACTGCAGCACGTTCTTCAGCGAGTCATTGAGCTCGGTGAAGTTCCCTCCTCCTCTTGGTGTGAAGCGCGGGGGATCTGGACGCCGCGCGCCTGTTGAATAGAGCGGCGGAGGGTTAGAGCTAGGCGGCATGCGCTGCGCTCTGGTCCCATCCGCCTCCTCGGATCGCATGTCCCATTGTCCCTCCTTTCCATCCTTCTTGCCGCCAGAGTCTCCTCCAACATGATCACCTTCTGTACTCTCCGGTACAAATCCTCCGTGGACGTCACGTCCCGCTTTGACAGTGCTCGGCATAACTCCTCACTCGTGGTGCATTCGTCCAAGCAACACCCCATGACTAGGGGTTTGACATCCTTGACCGCCATGGCCACCGACATCCAGCGCTCATAGAAGTCCCTGAACGCCTCGCCCTTGCGCTGCCTAACCTTGAATAGAGCGTTGATAGTGAGGCTCCTGCGCTTCCGGCTGGCGAACTTTGAGAGGAAAAGGGTCGCGAACTGCTCGAAACCATCGATCCTCCCCTCCTCGATCTGATGGTACCAATCCAAGACTACGCCCGTGAAAGTTGAAGGAAAAGCGCGGCACAAGGTGGCGTCCGAGCTATTATACAATTGCATCTTAGTGAAATAGTTGTTCAAGTGGTCTTCCGGGTCGGTCGTCCCGTCATAGCTGGGGAGCGTCGGGATAACTGAGTTTGCTTGCTCCGCCAGGATGCTCCTCGCAAGCGGCTGCCTTACCCCCCATGCCCTTCCGTGGCGCCAGTGCGCCCATCCATTGTGCTCGTCAAAGTCCGACGCCATGTGCCGCGTCAAGTGCCCCAGCTCTTCCGTGCGCTTTAGTGCGCTGGATGCTCCTTCTTCGTCCTCCTCCCTTTCTCTTCTCTTCCCTCCAGGTGGGGGCGCCACATCCGGCCCTTTCCTCAGCATTTCCACCTCCTTCTTGAGTGCCCCCAGCGCCCGATCCTGTTCTTCAATTATGTGGAGCAGATGTTCTTTCGTGAGAGTGACGCCTTCCGACTGAGCCGTTTCCTGCGCCTCGTCATCGCCACCATGCGTCTCCTCCGACAATCCGGGCGCCTCTTTAGAGGCCTCTTCAGTTGCCCCGCGTCCCCTTTCTGCTTCCCCTTCTCCCGGCGCCTCCATTACCTCTAGCTCTCTAAGGTCACCTCGTGAGCCTGTCTGTACGCCTCAGCCAATCCCCTTTCCTGGTGCGCCAATTGTTTATGCCACGTAACTATGCGCCTTGCCTTTTCGCATGCAGACCCACCTGCTCGCTCCTTCATGCACGCAAAGGAACCCCCCTTGAGCCCTGGATGAGGCTCGTTAGCACTCCAACGCCCATGTCAGTTCCCTTTTCTAGAGAGAGAAGTGAATAGTAATTCTAGAGAGAAGTTCTAACCTGAATAAATGAGGTTCACCAACTCTCCTATTTATACTCGGGGTTTGACCGACCAACATCCTTCTCTTCCGCCTTTCGCCAGGTCCGCATTTAATGTGCCGTACGGTCGGATCCCATGCGCCTCGACCATCTGACCTCCTGCTCAGAAGTCCGAGGCGCATGACGTCAACTGGTCCCGACCCCGTACTTTTGCACCTCTGCGACCCTTTGTCGTATGCGCCCCGTGTCAGAGCCATGACCCCACCTGTCTGGAAAGGCCTGCTTTGTTACATGGGCCAACTACTTTCATGCCCCTGGGCCTACCAGGTTGGGTTCTGCTTTATGGCTTACCAGCCCTTCTTCCTGGGCCCTGTGAGCCCAACCCTCTTGGGCCATAGTCGCATCCCCAACACTCGTAATACATCATTTCCAGAATCAAAGGTTCCAAACCAAGTTGACAACCTTGCCTAAAACCTATTTCAATTTAACCATTAAAATGTGTACATGGGACTTGGGAGGTTAGTCGGACCAATCCTGATTCGACCAGTCAAATTGCCACCCAATTGCTTGATCGGGTTGACGGGTTAATCTGGGTTAACAACTTTGGGTTGAACCTCTAAAGTCGAGCCGGTTCTGAAAGCATTGATCCTTAGCCCCGATGCGCCTGTTTTCCTTCACGGCATCAGAGAAAAGGAAAAGGCTTCCCTCATTCCAGTCCGTCCTCTCTACTCCTTTCGTGTCAACCAAGCCGCCCTTAATATATTTCAGCTGCAACTTTCATCTACACTCGGCTTCCCATTCGCAGTTGTTTGTGCCTTGCAGCGACTAGATTTTTTACATCAAGCAGATTGTCTAGATCTAGAATTTTTAGGGTTTCTTTCTGCTCCCATCTCTGCTGCCTTTGTGAAATACGATGACTCCAGAACCCAACGGCGCCAGCGGCAGTGGGACCACCAGGGAGGAGGCGACGGTGAAGGTCCCGGCCAAGGACCCCAAGAAGAAAGATGAAAAGAAGGACGATGATCTGGTAAGTTGGGTTGCCATTGGTCGAGCGCCATTTAATCTCCGATTTGTGCTTTGCTTTTGGTTGCTGGGGCGATTGTGTAATTTAGCGACGGGAGTAAGAGTCGACTTACCTCGGTTTGTTTTGTGATGGTTGATTTCTTTCTCTGGAGCAAATTAGGGCTTCCAGTGTTGGTAATGCTTGTGTTTGTTGGAGAAGCTTGTGAATTGTGAGGCCGTACTGGTCGCCCTAATTGGGGCTTCGTAATGGATATTGAAATGGGGAGGGTTTGTTGCTGGTTATGGCCTCAAATTGAACAACTCTGTTGTACTTAGTTACTTTTCTGAACCATTCATTAGAAAAACGTTATAGTTTGACCTGACCTATACATCTAATTTAATTGTGAGCAGTCGGATGAGGATTTGGCATTGAAGCAGCAATTGGAATTATATGTTGAAAGGGTTCAGGATGCTGATCCCGGGTTGCAGAAGGCTGCCCTTGAGAGTATGAGGTACTGAGAAGGTTTAACGTGTTTTTGCCTCCCTTCATGAACTCGTCTTAGATTCTTGCACCTACCCTTTGGTTGCTCCTATTATCACTAGATGACAGGACACGCAACTTGGACAAAATAATATGGCATAACCTAAATATTATGATTATAAGCTTGGGAGGCTAAATATAGCTTTTGGGGTTGGAGTTAGTCTTAGCGTTAAAGAATATAATTTCCAGATTAAGCAACATTGCTTGACTGCCGTTTGGTGAGAAGTAGATTATGTTGTATGGTAAACAGCGTTGGCACTTGATAGTTTACTCCATATATTACTCAATGCCTCTACCTGCATAAATTTTGCATGTGCAGTGCACTTATGAAAATAAGTTTTCAAACTGCTGCGGGAGATACAATAAACTGCATGCTTAAGCTAGGGGAATGACTGTTTAGAAATTTCGAGGTATAAGGCAGTGCTCGGCAGCAAGCACCTTCCTTATGCTCTGTTTTGATGTCTCTTCTGTCAGGCAAGAGATTCGGACCTCTACCAGCTCCATGACATCAGTCCCAAAGCCTTTGAAATTTCTCCGGCCACATTACGGAACACTGAAAGCATATTATGAGACTATGGGTGATTCAGATTTGAAGGTACCACTTGTTGTTCTTGGTAGGGCCGTAGGGCACACCTCAGTATTTGTGCCTGACTTAAGCTTAAGCGGGTCACTATGTTTCTTGTTGCAGAAATACTTGGCTGATATCCTCTCTGTCTTGGCCCTGACCATGTCCGCTGAGGGTGAACGGGTATGACTTAGATATAACTCTCCCTTTCTCTATTGGTTTAGGCTATATCTTCTTAACCCCCTTCTCCTCTGCTTTTTTATTTTAGTACTTTGCAAATGAAAGTAATGATTACTTATCTATGTGCTTATCCAGGAGAGCTTGAAGTATAGATTGCTGGGTTCCGAGGGTGATATTGGTTCATGGGGCCATGAATATGTCAGGTGAGCTTCAGCTAAATGTCAATTGGTACTTTGACCAACTGTGTAGATTGCTTTCTAATTAAGATAGGTAGAGTGAGCTTCATGAAAACCTCATTTGTTTATAATCAGGAATTTGGCGGGAGAAATTGCACAAGAATATGCAAAGCGACAGGTTCGGGCGTATTCTTATTTCTCGATGAAAATATTGATTTCATGTTCTGTGCTGTATGAAGTTATTTTTTAATTGTTCTCCATTGGAGTCTGATTCTCACATCTAATTATGAATGCTTGTGCTGCAGAGTGAAGAAGCTGGAATTGATGATCTGATGGAGCTTGTACAGCAAATTGTTGCTTTCCATATGAAGGTATTATATGAAGTTACCTTGTGGTCCAGTCATTGTGGAAGCTACTATTAACATGTGATGCATTCGCATAATTAGCTTATCAGAACCGAATAAAAGCAGCGAGCGAAAATTTTGTTCTCTGACACCTGATGTGATTCAATTATTTTGTTGCTCAACTGTATTGCAGCACAATGCTGAACCTGAAGCAGTGGACCTTTTGATGGAGGTATTTCTGGACAATATACGTTATATGCTGGCATATTATATTTTCTAATTGTGCAAGAGAAAAACATTGTCGAGGCTGAAATGTAATGATGTGATTGTGTAGGTGGAAGACCTCGATCTTTTGATTGAGCATGTGGACAATACTAACTTTAAGAGAACCTGTCTCTACCTCACCAGTGCTGCAAAGTAAGAGAACACAACTTTTGTCGGTGATTAGAATAAAGAATTTGCTGTATAAGATTGGTAGTATTTGTATCTTGGCTGCTAAGGAAAGTTAGTAGGTTCATTTCTTTGTAATTTTAACTGCCATTTATCCATTTTAGACCTGGTTCACTCTTGATTTTACTGAGGGTTATTATTATTTTTCTTGGTTGCAAACCATGGCTATGCTTTTTGTGTGTGATTATCTGAAATCGTGTTACAGTCAGGATGTATCCCTCTATGTCTCTGATCGAATTTCTTGGTCAACTATGTTGCAGATACCTTCCCGGTCCTGATGATTTGTTAGTCTTGGATATTGCATATATGATAGACATAAAGTTTGAGGAGTATGCAAACGCACTTCAAATTGCCTTGTACCTTGACAACCTACAGGTAAGCACCGAATGTGGTGTCTATGTGACTGCTTTTGTTTTCCAGTCTACATCTTGTTCTTTTAAGCTATGAAGTAGCTGGTAATTGTTCTCCCCGTTTTTGTTATGGTGCCTTTGACTGACTTGATGTTTATTTTCTTTATTCTACATGTTGCACTGCTGTCCTTTCTAACAATTCAATGTTGAATGCAGTATGTGAAGCAGGTTTTCACTGCCTGTGATGATGTCCTACGGAAGAAGCAATTCTGTTATATCCTCGGCCGGCAGGTGTTTGCTAAATCTACCGGTTCTATTCTTTTGAGTTGAATTTTTTTCCTTGTATCTAATTGCTGGTTCATCTGTGCAGGGCATAACTTTTGAGCTGGATGAAGAGATGTGTGCTGATGATGAGGAAAGATATGCAATGCAAGACATCATTAACAATGCAAAGTTGAGTGAAGGTTATCTTGCACTTGCACGTGATATTGAAGTCATGGAGGCGAAATCTCCTGAAGATATATATAAGGTTTGAAGTGCAACTGCATTTTCTTATTGAATGTATAATGTACATGTTCATGTAGATCTAGTGATTTATTTATTTTTCCTTGATTCATTCTAGTTTTCCCTTAGAGTTCGCTGATAAGTCAACTTTAGTTGCATTGGTTTGCCCCTTCTTGAGACGCGAGCTTGATTTTTTTAGGCACATTTACTTGATGGCCGGGCTAGTGCTGGAGCTAGTGTTGATTCTGCACGACAAAATTTGGCTGCTACATTTGTCAACGCATTTGTAAACGCAGGCTTTGGTCAGGTAAATGTCATTGCAACCATCTTGTGATCTATGTTAATAAGATAGGGGCTCAATGTTTTTATTTTGGTTCAGGACAAGTTGATGACTGTTCCATCTGACGCCGCAACTGGGGGTTCCTCTGGAAATTGGCTTTTCAAGAATAAAGAGCATGGGAAGGCTAGTGCTGCAGCAAGTCTGGTATGCACAACCCTTTTTCCTTGGCTTTAAGTGAGTTAAGTTCCCCTGATTCTAAAGGTCGAAATGTTGTTTGTTGCACAGGGCATGATTTTGTTGTGGGATGTTGATTCTGGCCTTGCTCAAATCGACAAGTATTTCCATAGCAATGATAACTATGTGATTGCTGGTGCTCTATTGGGAGTTGGAATCGTCAACTGTAGCGTGAAAAATGATTGTGATCCCGTGAGTGTAGTCATTTCCCACTTCCCAAGGTGTATCTTGTGTTTCTGTCTTTGGAGCTTATGCTGTGTTCATTTTTCAGGCTTTGGCTCTTTTGGCTGATTATGTAGATAAGGAAGATCCTTTTATTCGAATCGGTGCCATTATGGGCTTGGGAGTTGCATATGCTGGAGCTCAAAATGAGCAGGTTATATGTTTTGCTTTTATTTAGATTGTGCATATGCATTTATTCCTGTATGTTCCTATCAGGATACTTAATGATCTCTACGTGATTGCAGATACGTGGGAAACTGATGCCCATACTTAGCGATTCCAAAACTCCACTCGACGTAGTAGCTTTCACTGCAATTTCTTTGGGGTTGATATATGTTGGTTCCTGCAATGAAGAGGTTGCACAAGCTATAATATTTGCTTTGATGGACAGAAGTGAGGCAGAGTTGCAGGATCCTCTTACAAAATTTTTGCCACTTGGTCTTGGTCTGTTATACCTTGGGAAGCAGGTACGTGAAATTCAAGACACTGGATTGGTGTAAAGTTCACTTGGTCATGTGTTATATTTGCTACAGGTGGTAATTTTGGGTTTATTTAAGACAGCAGAGAGCCTTGTACACTTACTGTTGTCTACTCACCTGCAGGAAAGTGTAGAAGCTACAGCTGAGGTCTCAAAGACATTTAACGAGAAGATCAGAAAGTATTGTGATATGACCCTACTTTCTTGTGCCTATGCCGGGACAGGGAATGTTCTGAAGGTATGCTTTTGATGTCAATAAATTTGCAGTTTTCATTAAAGAAGATAGAAGTGTTATTTTGGATCGTTTGTTTTGCTTTTGCTTTGCTCTACCTGGGAACATTGTTTCTTCATTTCTCCCCGGTTTTAATTGGTGGCTTGTTTCTTGCTCTAGGTTCAAAACCTCCTTGGGAATTGTGCTCAGCATTTGGAGAAGGGTGAAAACTACCAGGGACCTGCGGTGCTTGGAATAGCAATGGTGTCTATGGCTGAGGAATTGGGACTTGACATGGCAATTCGAACTTTGGAGCATCTTTTGCAATATGGGGAACAGAACATCCGGCGGTCAGTTCCTTTGGCTCTTGCCCTTCTATGCATATCGAATCCAAAGGTGAGTTGTTTCACAAGGTCTTAGGCTTTGTTTTCCACAAACTCATTGATCACTCGGCTTGTCATCTATCGTAGTGTTTCTGTAACTTATTGGGTAAATTTGTATCAGGTCAATGTGATGGATACGCTAAGCAGACTTAGTCATGACACGGATTCAGAAGTTGCATCAGTAAGCTATTGTTCTGCTAGACCAGAGTATTACTTCGACGGTTTTGTATAATTTCTAAAGGTAGCAATGTCTCCGTGTCTTTTGCAGGCTGCAATTATTTCCCTTGGGCTGATAGGTGCCGGGACGAATAATGCACGAATTGCTGGCATGCTTCGCAATCTTTCGAGTTATTATTACAAAGATGCCACCCTTCTTTTCTGTGTAAGGCTGCTACTATTGTGGTCTATTTGATTTTCACATGATAGCATATGATATGTCCGAGTTGTGAATGTTGTCTTGGATTGGTTTACTTTCATATGATTGTACATAATGTCTGAGTTCTGAGTGCTTGTTATCTGGCTTCTGTAGGTAAGACTTGCTCAAGGCCTTGTGCACTTAGGCAAGGGTTTGTTGACTCTTAATCCGTATCACTCTGATCGGTTCTTGCTATCACCGTAAGTGACCTGCTGGAGAGCTACAATATATTTTTTTGTGTGCTGATTCTCATTAATCATCAAGATGGGAAGGTGTTTACCGCTCTTTACCTGATTCTGTTTGAGGAATATTTCCCTTCTCTGTGTGCAGTGTGGCGCTTGCAGGTTTAGTTACCTTTTTGCATGCTTGTCTTGAAATGAAGGCCATGGTACTGGGGAGATATCACATCGTCCTCTACTTCCTCGTCTTAGCAATGCAGGTACGGTACCTCTGTTTCATGTCATGTAAAACCAATCAATGACTATAATTTGGTGCTTTAATTATTGTGTTGGTGGGTTTGCTTCTGTTGCAGTCAAGAATGTTGATGACGGTGGATGAGAATTTGAAGCCTCTGTCCGTGCCTGTACGGGTCGGACAGGCTGTAGATGTGGTTGGCCAAGCTGGTCGACCCAAAACCATAACAGGTTTCCAGACCCATTCAACGCCGGTTCTATTGGCTGCTGGCGACAGAGCTGAGCTAGCGACGGAGAAGTAGGATGTTCTTCTTTGCTTTTCTGCATTGCTTTGTAGAGAACCGGCTCATGCTCTCTCAGGGTCAGGAGGACAACTAATTTTCCCAGCGTTTTCTTGATATACTTTTGGTGGTGTTTTTGTTCTTCAGGTACATTCCACTGTCGCCAATTTTGGAAGGATTTGTGATCCTGAAGGAGAACCCGGATTACCAAGAGGAGAGTTAAAGCTAGACATTTTGACTTCAAATAGTTACCATGGTTATTACCAAATCAAATAAGGCTAAATTTCATTAACCATGGAATATAATATCATAACCAAACCGTCTAAACTAATACAACAACCAAATTAACCAAACTAAAATTTAATCGGTTTGGTTAATTGGTTAACCAGATTAATCAATATAAAATCACATTATCATTAAGTGAGAAAATTTTCGGTTAATTTATCAATTCACAATTTATATAATGAATAAAACATAACAATCAACACTTGTTTATAGTTGACCTTTAACATAAATACATGCAACTAAGACAATTATCTTACGGTTACTATAGAAGTATTCACCTAGCAAAAATTTATCACAATGGTATGGGTTAATGAATTGTTGTGTTTGTATGAATTGACTAGTCTTTTAGCAATTTTCATAGGTTGAAAAGGACCTTGTTTTCAAGTTTTCATCCAACATAATGTATGAGATTTATCTAAATTAGGCGTTCATATGTTGTGGTCTACACTCTACATATACAAATATACATTATAGGAATAATATCTAGCTTTATATTTTATGAGTCTAAAAGCGATGAACGTTTAACTCTTGAGTGCTTATTCAAAGTATTAAGTATATGTATATATTAGATATATGGCTAATTATTTATCTGGTTAATTTGGTTTGACTGGTTAGGAGTGTCAGAAACCAAACTGCCTAAACCAAACAAGCTAAATTTTTTAACCAAATCAAACCAATTATCCATATTAATCAAACCAAATCATCTAAATAGTACTGGTTAAAACGATTACCATGGTAACCACACCGTTTGAACATCCCTAATTTTAAGGGTTCGTGCACACTGTTTGGTTTGAGTGTTTTCTTATGCTACATTACATGAGTAAAGAGTATCAATGTCCGAAGTATTTTCAATTAGAACGTGGAATTGGAATGTGGAATGAGTACTGATCCTAACATTGAAATTTTAGATTGTGATACTAACCTTTCGTCTTCTTAAGCTGACATTTCTGATAGGAATGGCAATGGGTAGGTCCGGGGTAGGTATCTCGATATCTATACTTGCCTCGTGGCAGGTTGGGTCCATGTCGGGTAATTTATCATGGGGCACGGGTCGGGATAAGTCTACCCATTTGGTATGTAATTTGTATAAAAAACATTAGAAATATTCGTTATTTTGATTAAAAGACTAAAAAAGAAACCATATATGATAAAAGGGTTAATTGCATGGTTGGTCACTGAAATTACAAAAAACGTTCAAGTTTGGTCACTCAAAATATTTAAATCCATTGGTGGTCCTTCAGTTTACTCAAACCGTTCACGTTTGGTCACTCTCCGTCCAACTCCGTTAACTTTGGCTGATGTGGCAGTCAACTCTCAAAGTTGACCGTTAACTTAGTGACGTGGCAACTAAAAAATTATTAAAAATTAAAAAATTAAATTTTTATATTTTCCACCTCATTATTACATTCATTAAAAAATAAAAAAAATAAAAAACCAAATACCCTACCCGACCCAATCCCCCTCTCCAAATCGTCCGCCACGTGCGAAGCCATGTGCCTTTCCTCTTCTCCACTTCTCCCTCCAACTCGCCCCTCCTCCTCCTGACTCAGTTCCCCCTTCCCGCCGACGAACGAGTCATCTACTCTCTCTCAACAAAACAAAAAAATGGCCGAGTCGCGCCGCCTGAACCGGCGAACCTCATGGTGCTGCTCCATCACTCACCCTCCCTGCAAAAGCCCCGACTACTGCCGCGCCCTCCCGTCCTCCAATTCGAAGCGCAAGCCCAAGCCGAATCGGAAGAAGCCGACTCGCTACCGTACGACTCGCCTCAGGGCTTGAAATTGAGCTTCGTCGGCAAGATTGACCCCCGCAAGATCCTCTCCCCCGGCCGCGTCTCCCCAATTGACTCCGATCCCACCGCCGGGGAGCTCGTGCAATCCGCGGCGTCGGCGGGGACGGCGGCCGAGGAACAACGCGCTGCTGCCGCCGCTCTTCCGGCGACAGCGGCTGTGGTAGAAGTGGAATGTGCGAGATCCGAGAGGTCCGATTCCTTCAGAGGACGAGACGATGTTGCAGGAGGCGGCCTCGGGTCGGGTTCGGGTCATTTCGGGTTGGATCCGGGCGGAGGGGATTCGTTTGACGTGAGGTTGAATTTGAGAGGGAGGAGAGGCGGGACGTTGGTGCTGGAGATGAGCTCCGAGGTTTTGATGGCGAATTCGGAGGTTTTGGGAGCGCTGGTGGCAGAGTACAGGAAGGGTGAATCGTAGTAATAGTAATGGTAATGGTAGTAGGAGTAGATCGGTAGGGTATTTGGTTTTTTTTTTTTTTAATAAATGTAATAATGAGGTGGAAAATATAAAAATTTAATTTTTTAATTTTTAATAATTTTTTAGTTGCCACGTCACTAAGTTAACGGTCAACTTTGAGAGTTGACTGCCACATCAGCCAAAGTTAACGGAGTTGGACGGAGAGTGACCAAACGTGAACGGTTTGAGTAAACTGAAGGACCACCAATGGATTTAAATATTTTGAGTGACCAAACTTGAACGTTTTTTGTAATTTCAGTGACCAACCGTGCAATTAACCCTATGATAAAATATAGTTAAATTATTGGAGAAATTGAGGTTTTCACTCCGTGTCACGTGAGAATATTCCTTCCAACTCAGTGCCACATCTGATAGCTCACCATCATCACTCAGTGTTACGGAGAGTTGACGTTTGGCTAATTAATAGCATTTTGATAGGTTTGGCTAATAAAAAGGAATAAAAAAAATTTGGCTAATAAATAGTCATTACCCTTTAATTTATGCGACAATATTGTCACTTGATCTCTTTTGTTAGTTGGATTTGGGCCCAAACCCACTACTGGTGGGTTTTAGTCGGTTCGTATTTTCTGAAAGAGAGAAGTTGTGTTCGAACCTTGAACAACGATTAATTGCACAATTCATATGCGGAACTCAATGTCTATATTGCATATGCGGGTAAAAGAGTAATTGAACAAACATGGAGTAAGATTGTGCTTGAATGTTCTTAACATTTTTTTTTATATATATTTTATAACATGTAGAAATCTAATATCACCAAAAAAGAAAGAAGCTACTCTAAATATAATCGTCTCTAACTATATTCTAGTTTAACGGTAAAGAAATCAAAACTGTTCTTTCTAGTAGCATAGCAAAAGGTAGAAAAGACATCATGACATCATTTTGAGACGTAACTCAATGCTGACTAGGCGTCACTGAGACCACAACGCGATCAATGTGTCTTCTCCACTGCTGTTTGCCAAAGCAAGATGTTTTCCTTCTGACTTGCGACTAGACGAACATAGATGAGTGTCTAGGTGTGTTTTTTAGAACTATACTAAATTTTTTCCCCAACCGTTCGAAGGGCAAAATATTAGAATTGTTTACAATCTAGAGGCTTTGGAACGATAATTCTCCAAACATTACTATATTTATATATAGTATCCTATAGTTCATCGTCTTTTGGATCCATAACACTAGATTAAATAAATAAGAAAATCCAACCGATACATGGCCAACAGAAAGACTGGTACACAACCCACAAACAGGACTGAAATCAAGATCAGATTGGGGGGTGAGAAAGAATTAACTTAAAAAAAAGCCAATCTAATGTCGGCTCTCCCTCTCTTTAATCTCTCAATTCCATTTTTCTGCATCGTTCACTACACAAACAGAATGACGAAAAAGTCCCTACACAGAGTACTCCTCCATTCACGGCCAGTTCTCTTGCTGTTCCTCCATGCTGCTGCTGCTGCTGCCGAACTCGTTCTGGCTGTTGTCATAGTTCACCGGGTAGTTTCTCATCATCTCCTTGCTGTCCTCATTGCTCAAATCGTAATAGTACTTCCCACCTTCCACAAACCTGGTGTCGCTCATCCCCTGCCTCTGCCTCTCTGCTTCCTCATACCCATTACTGTTGTAATTTTTCTTCTGATTGTCATTATACTTCCCCGCGCTGCTGCTGCCGTAGTAGCCATTGCCATCGTTGTTCGCCGCGAAGCTGTCCCCTTCGTTGTTGTTGCTGCTGCTGCTCTGGCTTCCCGTCACATACTGCGCATTACCCAATTTGTACTCGTTGCCGTTGGAATTGGACTCATCGGCAGAGAAGTTGTCGATTTCGTCATCATTGCCAGTGTAGTAAGCATCGGTGTTGTAGTTTCTACCGAAGCTATTGCCGTTGTTGTTGTTGTTGTTGTTCTGGCTCCGTCCCGTCACGTACTGGGCTCCACCGAGTTTGTACTGCTTGCTATCGTCGTTGTAGTTGTAGTTGTTGCTGCTGCTGCTATAGCCATTGGGATTGTACTGCTTGTTGTTGTTGTTGTTGTTATAGCTGTTAGTGGCAGCAGAGAAGGCAGTACTTTCGTCATAGTTGTTGTTGTTGCTGCCGCTATAGCCATTTGGATTGTAGTTGTTGTCGTCGGTAGAGCTACTGGTGGCGCCGCCATTGAGTGCTGCTTCGAGCTCATCGTCGTCCTTGTAAGTGGGGTCCATGGCCTTGGTTGTTGTTGTTGTGGTGGTGGTGGTGACGGTGGTTTGTTTATTGGTGGGAACAACCATGCCAGATCCAGCGCCCCAGAGGCCATAGCCGTCGTTCTTGCTCTCTGCCGTGGCAGGGGCAGAGGCAGGGGCGGAGGCAGGGGAGAGGGCAGGGGAAGAGGCGGGTTGTTGCGAGATTTGGGAAACCTGGTTTGGTTTAGGGACGTTGGGAGTGGTTTTGGTGGCGGCGTGGACGTACTTGCTGAAGAAAAGCTTTGCCTCTCTGGCTTGAGCTGGGACAACAATGGAGGATGATGAAAGTATCCCAACGAGGAACAGGACAAAGAAGAGGTTCCAAGAGGAAGGCGCCATTGTTAGGGACAGAGGAAGAAAAAAAAGAAGGGGGAATGGAGACAGAGGGGGAGGAGATCAGCTAAGCTTATTATGACTCCCTTGTTTTTGTGTGATTTGGGTTTAGGGAAGAATGGCAGGGAGGTGTTTCTTATAGAAGGTGTCCTTAACTTTTGGGAGGGAAATTTTGCCGGCCGGACTAAATTGCGTTGATTGAGGAAGGGAGTAAAAGTGAAAAATATGGAAAGATTTATGGTGGGAGTGGGGGGGCCAGAGAGGGAATTATGCCATATAGTGCATGCTGCTGCATGTGCACTCCACTCCATCTTCGATGGAGATTTGAGAGTAATAATATGTCAAAGGACACACACTATACCACCTAACCATCAGCAGAAAGAAGAGAAAATGAAGGAGCTAAAGGAAGACTTACACATTTTGTTTCTTTTTGTCGGTTTGGGCTTTAGACAATAGTCACTAATCTTTTTTTCCCCTCCAATTTCTTAGTTGTGTGGGAATTTCAGGAAAAAAATGATAATTTCAAAGCTGATAAAATGAACGAAGAAATGTTAGTATGTCTCCAAAACAGTCTAAGTCTCGAACTCAAACTTAATTCATTTACATACCGTTTGGTGTAAATGAATTCCATAAGTTTTAAGGAATTCATTTTGAAATGAAATATTTTTGTTTTTGGTATTTAAAAGAATTCATTTTCAATTCTAAATTTTGAATTCTACGGAATTGGAGCTAGTTATAGCAATTCCAAGGAATTGAGATGGAATTTCCAAATGAATTCCACAAGTATTTACTAAATTACTCTTTTTATTAACTAAATTACTTACACATATGATATACCAAACACATGAATTCATTTGACAATGAATTATACACGTCAATTCATTTTCTTTCTAAAGATTTGAATATGACATACCAAACACAAGATTTCATTTGACAATGAATTCTACAGGGTAATTCATTTTACAATGAAATGAATTCTCGATTCATTTGGTACCAAACGGTCTGTTACTCAAATTTGTCTCAAACTCAAATTTGAAATCGTCATACAAAACATATATGTGACTCATATCATAATAAAATAAAAAAATTAAGAGTCAGTTTGCATATTTAATTGATCTCACGTTTATATACTCTATTGATATCATATATAATTCATAAAATTTACCTAGT